GAGAAAAAGAAAGAGGGAGAAATAGAGAGAGAGAGAGGGAAATAGAGAGAGAGAGAGAGGGAAATAGAGAGAGAGAGAGAGAGGGAAATAGAGAGAGAGACGAGAGAGAGGGAAATAGAGAGAGAGAGAGAGGAGGAAATAGAGAGAGAGAGGGGAGAAATAGAGAGAGAGAGAAAGGGAAATAGAGAGAGAGAGAGAGAGAAAGGGAAATAGAGAGAGAGAGAGAGAGAGAAAGGGAAATAGAGAGAGAGAGAGAGAGAGGGAGAGAGAAACATTGACAGAGAGAAAAGTTGAGAGAGAGAAACGTTGAGAGAGAGAAAAGTTGAGAGAGAGAAAAGTTGAGAGAGAGAAACGTTGAGAGAGAGAGAGAGAAACGTTGAGAGAGAGAGAAACGTTGAGAGAGAGAAACGTTGAGAGACTCTTTGAGAGAGACTCTTTAAGAGACTCTTTGAGAGAGAGAAACATTGAGAGAGAGAGAGAAACGTTAAGAGAAAAATATTGAGATAGAGAAATGCTGAGAAATAGAGAGAGAGAAATAGGGAGAGAGAAATAGAGAGAGAGAGAAATAGGGAGAGTGAAATAGAGAGAGAAATAGAGAAACAGAAAGAGGGAGAGAAATAGAGAGAGAAATAGATGAGGGAGAGAGAAATAGGGAGAAATAGAATGAGGGAGAGAGAAATAGGGAGAAATAGAGAGAGAGAAACATTGAGAGAAAGAGAAATGTTGAGAGAGAGAAACGTTGAGAGAGAAACATTGAGAAAGAGAAAAGAGAAAGAGAGAAACATTGAGAGAGAGAGAAACGTTGAGATAGAGAAACATTGAGAGAGAAACGTTGAGAGAGTGAGTGAGAGAGAGAAACGTTGAGAGAAAGACAAACATTGAGAGAGAGAGAGAAAGTGAGAGAGAGAAACGTTGAGAGAGAGAAATGTTGAAAGAGAGAAAGAGAAACATTGAGAAACATTGAGAGAGAAATGTTGAGAGAGAAACATTGAGAGAAAGAGAGAGAGGAACGTGAGAGAGAGAGAGAAACATGAGAGAAAGAAGAGAGAAACGTTGTGAGAGAGTGAGAAACATGAGAGAAAGAGAGAGAGAAACGTGTGAGAGAGAGTGAGAAACATTGAGAGGAAAGAGAGAGAGAAACGTTGTGAGAGTGAGAAACATTGAGAGAAAGAGAGAAACGTTGAGAGAAATTTTGAGAAAGAGAAACATTGAGAGAAGAGAGAGAAACGTTTTGAGAGGTGAGAACATTGAGAGAAAGAGAGAGAGAAACGTTTGTGAGAGAGAGTGAGAAACTTGAGAGAAAGAGAGAAACGTTGTGAGAGAGAGTGAGAAACATTGAGAGAAAGAGAGAAACATTGTGAGAGAGAGTGAGAAACATTGAGAGAAAGAGAGAGAAACGTTGTGAGAGAGTGAGAAACATTGAGAGAAAGAGAGAGAGAAACGTTTGTGAGAGAGAGTGAGAAACATTGAGAGAAAGAGAGAAACATTGTGAGAGAGAGTGAGAAACATTGAGAGAAATATTGAGAGAGAGAAACGTTGTGAGAGAGAGTGAGAAACATTGAGAGAAAGAGAGAGAAACGTTGTGAGAGAGAGTGAGAAACATTGAGAGAAAGAGAGAGAGAAACGTTGTGAGAGAGTGAGAAACATTGAGAGAGAAACGTTGAGATAGAGAAACATTGAGAGAGAGAGAGAACGTTGAAAGAGAGAAAGAGAAACATTGAGAGAAAGAGAATAATTATAATTATAATGTGAAATGTTGAGAGAGAAAGAGAATGTTGAGAGAAAGAGAGAGAGAAATAGAGAGAGAGAAATGTTGAGAGAGAAACATTGAGGGAAAGAGAAACATTGAGAGAAATATTGAGAGAGAGAAACGTTGAGAGAAATTTTGAGAAAGAGAAACATTGAGAGAGAAACGTTGAGAGAGAGAAAGTGAGAGAGAGAAACGTTGAGAGAATGACAAACATTGAGAGAGAAAAACATTGAGAGAGAGAGAGAGAGAAAAGTTAAGAGAGAAACATTGAGAGAGAGAAACGAGAGAGAAACATTGAAAAATTGAGAGAAATGTTGAGAGAGAAAGAGAAATGTGAGAAACATTGAGAGAGAAAAACATTGAGAGAGAAACGTTGAGAGAGAGAGAGAACATTGAGAGAGAGAGAGAGAAACGTTTTGAGAGAAAGAGAATGTGAGAAACATTGAGAGAAGAGAGAGAGAAACGTTTGAGAGAAAGAGAGAGAAACATTGAAAAATTGAGAGAGAGAAACGTTGTGAGAAGTGAGAACATTGAGAGAAAGAGAGAAACATGTGTGAGAGAGTGAGAAACATTGAGAGAAAGAGAGAGAGAAACGTTGTGAGAGAGAGTGAGAAACATTGAGAGAAAGAGAGAAACATTGTGAGAGAGAGTGAGAAACATTGAGAGAAAGAGAGAGAGAAACGTTGTGAGAGTGAGAAACATTGAGAGAAAGAGAGAAACATTGTGTGAGAGAGTGAGAAACATTGAGAGAAAGAGAGAGAGAAACGTTGTGAGAGAGAGTGAGAAACATTGAGAGAAAGAGAGAGAAACGTTGTGAGAGAGTGAGAAACATTGAGAGAAAGAGAGAAACATTGTGAGAGAGAGTGAGAAACATTGAGAGAAAGAGAGAGAGAAACATTGTGAGAGAGAGTGAGAAACATTGAGAGAAAGAGAGAGAAACGTTGTGAGAGAGAGTGAGAAACATTGAGAGAAAGAGAGAGAGAAACGTTGTGAGAGAGTGAGAAACATTGAGAGAAAAACTTTGAGAGTGAGAAACTTTGAGAGAGAGAGAGAAACGTTGAAAGAGAGAAAGAGAAACGTAGAGAGAAAGAGAATAATTATAATTATAATGTGAAATGTTGAGAGAGAATTGTTGAGAGAAAGAAAGAGAAATGAGAGAGAAATTTCGAGAGAGAGAAACATTGAGAGAAACGAAAGAAATGTTGAGAGAGAAACGTTGAGAGAAATTTTGAGAAAGAGAAACATTGAGAGAGAAACGTGAGAAAGAGAGAAATGTTGAGAGAAAGAGAAATGTTGAGAGAAAGAGAGAAATGTTGAGAGAAAGAGAGAAATGTTGAGAGAAAGAGAGAAATGTAGAGAGAAAGAGAGAGAAATGTTGAGAGAGAAACGTTGAGAGAAAGAGAGAAATGTTGAGAGAAAGAAATACTGAGAGAGAAATTTTGAGAGAAACGTTGAGAGGGAAATGAGAGAGAAACGTTGAGAGAAAGAGAAATGTTGAGAAACGTTGAGAGAGATATAGATGTTGAAAGAGAGAAATTTTGAGAGAGAAATGTTGAAAGAAATACTGAGAGAGAGAGAAACGTTGAGAGAAAGAGAGAAATGTTGAAAGAGAGAAATTTTGAGAAAGAGAGAAACGAGAGAGAGAAATGTTGAGAGAGAAACATTGAGAGAGAGAGAAACATTGAGAGAGAGAGAAACATTGAGGGAAAGAGAAACATGAGAGAAAGAGAGAAACATTGAGGAGAGAGAGAAACATTGAGGGAAAGAGAAATGTTGAGAGAAAGAGAAACATTGAGAAAGAGAAACATTGAGAGAAAGAGAGAAACATTGAGAGAGAAACGTTGAGAGAGAGAGAAATGTTGAAAGAGAAATGTGAGAGAAAGAGAAACATTGAGAGAGAGAAACATTGAGAAACATTGAGAGAGATGAGAGAAAGAGAAACATTGAGAGAGAGAAACATTGAGGGAAAGAGAAACATTGAGAGAGAGAGAAACATTGAGGGAAAGAGAAACATTGAGAGAGAGAGAAACATTGAGGGAAAGAGAAACATTGAGAGAGAGAGAAATGTTGAGGGAAAGAGAAATGTTGAAACAAAGAAACATTCTGAGAAAGAGAAATGTTGAGAGAAGGAGAGAAACATTCAGAGAGAAACATTGAGAGAGAAATGTTGAAAGAGAAATGTGAGAAACATTGAGAGAGAGAGAAATACTGAGAGAGAGAAACAGAGAGAGAAATACTGAGAGGGAAACATTGAGAAACGAGAAAGAGAAGGAAATGTTGAGAGAAAGAGAAACATTGAGAAACATTGAGAGAAATATTGAGAGAGAGAAACACTGAGATAGAGAAACTTTGAGAGAGAGAAACGTTGAGAAAGATGTTGATGTTGAGAGAGAAAGAGAAATGTTGAGAGAAAGAGAAACATTGAGAGAAAGAGAGAAATGTTAACAGAGAAATGTAGAGAGAGAGAAATGTTGAGAGAAAGAGAGAGAAACATTGAGAGGAAAAAGAGAGAAATGTTGAGAGAAACACTGAGAGAGAGAGAGAAACGTTGAGAAAAAGAGAAACGAGAGAGTGAGAGAGAGGGGGGGGGGAGAGAGAGGGAGAGGGGGAGAGAGAGGGAGAGGGGAAGGAGGGAGGGAGGGAGAGGGGAAAGAGGGAGAGAGGGAGAGGGGAAGGGAGGGAGGGAGAGGGGAAGGGAGAGAGGGAGGAAAGGAGAGGGGAGGGGGAGAGAGAGGAGAGGGAAAGGGAGGGGGAGAGGGAGGGGAGAGGGAGGGGAGAGGGAGGGGAGAGGGGGGAGGAGAGGGAGAGGGAAAAGGAGGAGAGAAAGGGAAGGGAAAGGAAAGGAGAGGAGAGGAGAGAAGAGAAGAGAAGAAAGAGAAGAGAAGAGAAGAGAGAGAAGCAAATAAGTAAAGATATGACGAAGAGCAGAAGCATGAGGCGAGAGGAGCACAGAAGAGAAGCGTAGAGAGGAAAACACCGAAGGGCATAATAAGTATGAGAAACAAGAAGAGACAACTGTCAGAGATGGCCGAAAAACAGCAGAAAAGAGCAATATGAGGCGTGCGAATCGTGTTTTGTGACAACATACGCGATGAACATTAATATCCCGTCCAACAGTCAATAACACGAACCACACCGAAGTGCAGGGTAATTAACCTGTTTTCCTGAGATACGAGTATTTCCAATGATTATAATCAATATGGTATTTCACTCTAACTTATATCATACGGGAATCACGCATAATACTCACCTAAAAGAGATGTAAACCACGAAAAAGCCGAAATAACCGAGTTTTTCCCGAGGACTTCGTTTTCTCACAATGGCGTCCTAACCCCTCGTCGCGTTCGAGTATTGAATTTTGAATAGATTTTATTTGTCATTTGGCGTTATTCATATTCTCAATTATTTTTTTTTACCTTCCATTTAGAGTTGATTGGTCTCTTGGCTTTATAACACCAAATGGTTAAGATATTAGGGGGGGTGAATGATCATTCGCAACGGAACGAAATGCCTATTCTAATAGTAAAAAAAAAAGTTTTTTGATTTTTCTGTAGTGTTTTTTTCAGTTGAGATTCTGTCAGCATAAATACGTAAACTTAGTTATTGTAATGAGCATATGCGAGTTCTTTATCTCGAAATTTTAAGATACTGTCTATCAATTGAATTCTGCAACAATTGCATTTTGCATATTTTTCTTAAATTCTGGTACGTATAGCCGGAAATAAACTACCTATCAGTCATAAATGAATCAAAAAAAATCTTTCGGTTTTCATGAATCAAATCGATTGAATCTATTTTGTATAAAATATCTGATGAAAATCGAAGATGCCGGCGTGGACATGCGTACTTGCAGGGAGGGGAAGTGAGAGAGAGAGAGAGAGAGAGAGAGAGAGAGAGAGAGAGAGAGAGAGAGAGAGAGAGAGAGAGAGAGAGAGAGAGAGAGAGAGAGAGAGAGAGAGAGAGAGAGAGAGAGAGAGAGAGGCAGAGGAGAGAGAGAGAGAGAGAGAGAGAGAGAGAGAGAGAGAGAGAGAGAGAGAGAGAGAGAGAGAGAGAGAGAGAGAGAGAGAGAGAGAGAGAGAGAGAGAGAGAGGCAGAGGAGAGAGAGAGAGAGAGAGAGAGAGAGAGAGAGAGAGAGAGAGAGAGAGAGAGAGAGAGAGAGAGAGAGAGAGAGAGAGAGAGAGAGAGAGAGGCAGAGGAGAGAGAGAGAGAGAGATAGATAGATAGATAGAGAGAGAGAGAGAGAGAGAGAGAGAGAGAGAGAGAGAGAGAGAGAGAGAGAGAGAGAGAGAGAGAGAGAGAGAGAGAGAGAGAGAGAGGATTTATCTATTAAAGTAGGAAGATACTTACTGTGGAGCAATTGATCATTAGCTTAAGTACCGACGTGCATATATACTACCTATTACACAATGCTTCTTATTTAGGTTTCATACATGCAGCACACAATGCTCTCTTCTTATCATGTAGATAATGTCATTTTAAAATATCTGATTATCTTTTTACAACTAGTTCAGCATCAGAACATTAGCATGAACGAAAATAACGAAAAAAATATGTCTCTTTACAACTAGTTCAGCATCAGAACATTAGCATGAACGAAAATAACGAAAAAAAATATGTACCATGAATTTCAGATGATGAAATAAGCATTTCATACTTCTATGCACTTTCAAAGTACATTTTCAGTGCAGTGATCGTGTTGAATCATAGCACTCGATATCACTCTAAAATTGGGTTATTGCTCTCAGACACAAACTGCAATCAATTACTTATAATCTATTTCATATTGTATCATCATCATCGTATTCACGTTTACGAGAAACCATCTAGTTTATGTAACAGTCTAAACTAAAGGTAACATGTATCATCGTATTCACGTTTACGTGAAACCATCTAGTTTATGTAACAGTCTAAACTAAAGGTAACAAGCATCAGTAATTTACTAAAGTCACCCCTCTCAGTACAACAGAAAACATGGTGTTGTCCTTCAATTAAATGCTAACTACACATATGGCAGCCTGTTTGAAAGATCAGATAAAGTGACCGATGAAATGGATTATTACAATCTATCAGTCAGTGATTAAAATATATTTCCCTAATAGTACAA